ACACTGGGCTTTTCGGCGGCGACCGTGGCCGCGCCCTCCCCACGGCCCCTGCTCTCCCGGTAGCCCAGTGCGTGTTGGAAGCAGCGGCAGCCAAACCGGCATCGGCGTCCTCGGCAGGCGCGCGCTCACCATTTGCGGCCTCAACAGCGGGTTGCGCCCAAAGAAGCATCATCACGGTGACCGTCCGTGGGCTCGGGGCGAGCGCCAGCGACATGTCCGGCATGCAGGGGCACGGGCTCCGCCAGCCGGCGCAACCCAGCCCTAGTGCACCAAGGCACTAGCGGGCAGAGGCGCGCCCTCTCGAAGCACGGCTTGGGGCAGCGGCTGGCCTGCAGCAGCAGTCGGCGTGAGGAGCGCCTCCGAAAGAGCGCCCACAAGGACGCAGCTGGCGAGCATTCTCCCACCAAAGTGCACCTCTCGCCTCTTCACGTCAGGCTTGCAACGCCAGCCTCAAGGTCCGGCTGCATGCAGGAAAGGCGCGTGGCAGGCCAGATGCTGACCAAAGGGGCGAGCGTGGCGACGGCGATGGCGGCAGGCTCCGCCTCCGAAGCACCAGCACACATTGTACGCGTCATGTTGCTCCGACGCCTGCGACTACCACTCCCCTTCGCGCCCAAGCGATGTCGCTGCGGATGGGTCCTCGATACCCGCGGGGGTCACCGCACAGCTTGTGGCAGCGCCGCGCATTTGCCGAGAGGCCGGAGCACGCGTGGCGCCCAGCGTCGCCCTCCCGCGATCTGAACATCGACGTCCCTGCCACAGACGGGCGCCGCATCGGGGTGGTGGCCCCTGTGGCGCGGTGCTCAGATCGCGGTCGACACGACCGCTCGTCAGCCCGCTGCAGAGGCGCGGAGAGCCAGCCGACGCTGAGCCCGCTTTTTTTTTCCCGCAGCATGTCCTCGCGGGGCGCTGCGGTGGCACGCGACGGGCGGGCGGGAGACGATCCCAGCGGCCATCAGCCAGGACCTTGCCGTTGCGTTCGATCGCAAGCAAGGACCGAGCTCTTCGCCACGCGCAAGCATCGCACGTGCCCGGGTTGGTCGTCAGCCCGCCGCCTGGCGCGGGCACGAGGACGAGCGAGGGCGCCGTGGAATGCTGCGGCGGCCGGCCAGGCGCTCACCCGGCGGTGCATCACTGGTAGAATTGCGCTCGCACGCGCAAACGATGCTAGAGCTGCCGGTGCAGCCGTGACTTGGAGCTACCGCTGCGCCGAGCGCTCAAGGCAGCCGGACTGAGAGCCCTGCGGTTAGTCCCGACCCCTGAACCCATGACAGCGGATGCAAAAAGGAGCGCAAAAAGAAAGGATTGCCCGGGCTGACGTCCTAAGAGCTCCCGTCGCGGCCTTTTCGAGCGCGCTGTCGCCAGGGTCTGTCGTGAGGCGGGGACCACTGTCCTACAGCATTTTTTTTTGCATCCTCGTGGCGACCTCAACGTCGGGCTCATTCGATTCGACACCTGTCGGATTGAAATCATCGCCACTGGACTACCACTTTGGAACGGGACCGGTCACCGTCGACACCACACCCTCGTCTCGGCGCTCACTTCGCGGACCGAGCCAACGGTAGGCGCAGCGCCGCTTGCAGACCCTATCATTTGCGAGATTTGCTCTCCATGCACATGCCTGGCACCGCCCCCGTGCTCAGTTTGTGATTTCCCTTGAGGCACGGTCCCATTGGATGTGCGCGTGACACAGAGCGTTGTGACCCATGCCCTCAACATGTCCTTCGCACGGTGGGCTGCACTGCTCGCTGTCGCGTCCCGGCGCGCCTACGCGAGTTCCTTGCTCGAGCTCCCGCCCGCTGCCGAGCTGCACGGGGAGCAGGCAGCGCCGTCGCTGCATGAGCTCTTGGCTGACGGCCGCTAGGACCTCCCCACCCAGGCCAGCCGCTTGCCCGCCCGCCCACAGTAGGCCGCTCTGCCCAGCCCCCCGACGGAGACTCGCACCCGCAGGCGCAAAAAGTGTGCGGAAAAAATAAAATGTCCTCATCGTCAAACGCGAAGGTCTTGCCGAGCAGCGTCTTCACGAAAAAAACTCGACCGCTTTTTGGTTGCCACTCGCAAACGCGCGGCCTCGTCGTTGGTGACCTCCTGCGCAGGCTTGTTGCGCGCGCGCTGGCACAGCAGCTTTCGAATGATTTCGAGGCGGCTTGCCATCCGCATCAATATGCTCTCTCCACTTTCTGCCGATTGTGGTAGGCACGCGAGTTCTGTTATGTGTGGCAAGCCGGCGATCGCTCTCACCGTATTGCCAAAGCGGAGGGGGGCGAGCAGGGCGACCCTCTGATGCCTGCCTTGTTCGCCCTCGCGTTGAACCCCGCGCTGAGTTGCGTGAGGACGAACCGCTGCTGGCATACCTTGACGACATCTACGTTTTTTGGCACAACCTGCGCGTATCTCGCACTTGTACCATCGCCTGGAGCATCACTTGTGGTCCCATGCTCGGTTGCGCCTCAATGCAGCGAAAACCCGTGTGTGGTCCGAGGCCGGCATAGTTCCTCAGGATGTTGCTGCTCTCGCGCCCGGTTCCTGTGTATGGGTTGGCGATCAAGTTTTGCCATCTTCGCAGCAAGGGCTCGTCGCTCTTGGTGTGCCAATCGGGGCGCCGGCCTTCGTTGAGACGCACATCGAGTCAGTCCTCGAGCCAAACCGAGCTCCTCAGACTCCTGCCCCTGGTCGAGACACCCAGGTTGCGTGGTTGCTACTCTCCTACTGTGCGTGCCCCCGATCTGGAGTCCTACGTGCGAGGGGAGGCCCCCTGGAGCGTGCGGCGGCTCGAGTCTGCAGGGAGGCTGGGGCCACTAGGCCTTCATTTGTCGACCTGTTTGGAAGTTTTAGTTGTTTGTTGTAGAACCTTTCAAGCGGCCCAAGATGTTCTAACATCTTTGTAGAGAGAGAGAGAAAGAGAGAGAGAGAGAGAGAGAGAGAGAGAGAGAGAGAGAGACAGAGAGACAGAGAGAGAGAGACGGGCTGAAAACGAAGGCCTTAAGACGCCCTAGGATGTTTTAGAATTTAGGAAAAAACAACCCCAAAATAGAAAACAAGGCCAAGGCCCCGGAAAGGAGAGGTTTCTAACGTCCTGCGTCAAGAGTCCACAAAAACTTCGGCCAGGTCAAACAAAAGGACACGTCAGGACTTTCGAACTTTGTGTTTCTTTACCCAAAAAAGGACATGAAGACTACCACGGCTGAGGGGCACAGACAGGACTTAGAGCTGCAGAGCTTGACAGACGCAAGCGGACGCCGGCTGCTGAAGCTAGTACCCACTCAAAAAGGCGTTTTTTTTTTTTTTTTTTTTTTGCGGGGTCTTTTTCCTCCTGTGCGGCTGGCGAGGGGCGGGGGCAAGGAGGAATCAGCAAGGAGCTCGCTGAGGGTTGGGGGTTCCCCATCAATGTTTGCCGGTGCCGGCGAGGGGGAGCGACAGCAGGCTTGCTGCGAAGGCCCGTGCAGCGGCGAAAGCGAGCAGGGCTGACCACCGCTGGGCAAAAGCAGGGATGGCAGCGGGACGGCGGGACGGTGGCACAGAGCGGGCACGGCAACGTGCCAGCAGACGCACGAAGCGGCTGCTTCAAGGCTCCACCTCCCACCAGGCCAGACAGCACCGGGAGGCGCGAGCGAACTCGGGGTAGGTGCGGAGCTCCGCGCGGCGCGCGATGCGGAGATACGGATCCACAAAGATGACTATCATGCCATCCCAGCGTTCAGGATGGGTACTCGGCAGCTGCTTCGTCCAGGGGGGCTGGAGCTTTTCATGGGCTGGGTCGCTTGAGCGAAAGTGGTCGGCTGCCCGGCTTTGCTGGCCCATCCTGTCGACGTTGTTACGAGTGGTGCCTTTTGGCTCGCGGCAATCTCGAGCGAGCGCTTCTGCTTCGGCTACGACCACTGCCCCATTCGTGTGGGGCCTGACGGCTCAGCGGCCCATGGCACATCCCCAAATCGCCCCAAATCGCCCCAAATCGCCCCAAATCGCCTCAATGTGCAGTAAAGTCCGAGAGAAGCGGATTCCAGGGGCCGATTCCTCAAGTTCAGGGCTCCTGAATGCTCCTGATGGAAGTGCTTCTTTTTGCCGCTGTGTCTATGAGGGGTAGTTACGGGTAGTTCCCCCAGAGCGCCGGAGATGTCAACAGATATTTGTCTTCCTGGCAGGTCCCGGCTTCAAGGCGAGGCCGGCAATGAACACCAAACTATTTGTACATGCCCCTTGGAACTGATAGCAACATATTCTGTGCACTGTCTTCTTTAGAGTTGCTTGCAGAATCAGAGCAATCTGTCTTCAGAATCTGGGTGTGCAACTTAAGCATGACATGGATTTGGGTGTTTCTCTGTAGCCGTAGCCGCATCGGGGTGAAAGTTTGTAGTTAGTGTGGCCCAGAAAACGGAGGGAGCCGTGGATGGTGAACATGACTGGGTTACCCTCAAATTCGATCTCCCATTCAGGTCTTGCATGTTTTGTGTTTTGTTCAGTGACATGGAAAGTTTGTCTACTTTGTAGGACAGCTGTCAAAACCTGTGACGTTGATTGCGCATGGAGCGGCTCCAGAAAGGATCGGAGTGGCCAGAAACACCCCGAAACTCCTGCAGCCTTCAAAAGTCAGCAAGGGCAGCCGAGGCGGTGCTGGGCAGTGCTGCGCCGCGCTGCGCCGCGCTGCGCAGCTGCTTTGGAGTTTCTGCGCCCAGCTGAATTCGGAGCCGCCTGCCTCAACCCAAGAGTTTTCGGAATTGATGTAGCAACCCCTGTTATGATGGCCGTCGTGAGGACCGGGAGCGGTTGATGCATGTGTTCATGAATTACATGTGTTTTGGGCGCAATGTCGCAGTGTACAGAGATGTACAGTTGCAGCCAAGCACACCAAAGTTCAGGGTGGACAAAACGGACTCCGGAACCTTTGAGTCATCATGGGCCACAGAATCATTGATGACTTGCATTGATGACTTGCATTGATGACTTGCATGCATGTTTGAGCCCGAGCATTTGGGTCCCCGCGGGCCTGCCTGCGCTCTGCAATGAAGTGTGTTGTGGCTCTTGCCACGTTGCCATGGACTTTGTCCCTGAAGGTGCTGAGTGAGTTGAACGTGTCCGAATCAGGCTGCCCCAACGCACCTCCAAACTCATGTTGCAACTGGAGGGGGCAGTGTGCGGACGGGTGGATCCCGAAGCGACCTCTCAGTGAACATGCCGGATCCAGCAACGAAGAATGCTGTCAGCAGACCTGTGTATCTTTCACGTGCCCGGATGGTTATGTGGCTAATGCGGCCTACCGCAACAACGTGGGCTGGAGTTCCGACACGTGTTGTGATCGTACCTGTGATGGCTTCCAATGCCAGGCTGGCTACCGAGTCACAGATTCGAGCCGGAGCAAGATCGGCTCCACACATGATGAATGCTGTGCAAAGACATGTTCCTTGCATAGCTGCGGTGCTCTGTGGAAGCCGCTCGAGGAGAGGGCACAATGGGTGGGTAGTTCTGATGCTGTTTGCTGTGAGCCTCGTTGCGCGCTGATGACTTGTGGGCATGGTTGGGTCCTGGACGACGACAAAGTGGATCAGGTGGGGGCAACTCGCGAAGATTGCTGTGCGAAGACCTGTGAAACGGTGACCTGCCCCCGAAACTTCGGCATACCAGACAGCAAGAAGCGCGCGGTGCCCAAGGATGAAAGTGAGTGCTGCCAGCCCACTTGCCAGCAGCACGTTTGCTCGGATGGATTTGTCAAGGATACGGCTCGCAATGCGTTCTTCATGCCATCGGACACACGATGTTGCCAGAGGAAATGTGCAGCTTTCGAGTGTCCTGACGGGTGGGTAGCGAAGAAAGATGCCAAAGAGTTGCTGGCCACTGGTCCTGAGACTTGCTGCCAGAAGTCTTGTGCCCTCCATGAATGCGGTGCGGGTTGGCTGGCCGATGCTTCCAAACAGATCGACATTGGTTCATCGGACGAGACCTGCTGTGCGCAGTCCTGTGCTCTTCACACGTGTCCAGCGGGCTTTGCGCTGAAACCGTCGGCGAAAACAATTGCTGACCTAAGCGACAGTGCTTGCTGCGAGTCAGAGTCTTGCTCGGAGATGCGCGGCATGTCGCCTGCGTCGCCTGCTGGCCAGTGCAACGGTCACAGCAAGTCCGAGTGTGGCAAGATGTACACCATCCTGAACTCCACAGACCCCTACGTGAAATGCAAATTCGATGACAACTTTGGAGAAGAAGGCCTTTGCCGTGTCGACGACGCTTCGGCCTCCAGTTGCACAGAGATGTAGGATGAAGATGCCTGAGATGCCCACCGTTAGCCGTGTTGGCTCATGCTTGTGCTGTTTTGCCTGAGCTGTGATGCCGCGCGGAGATCAAAATTGTGCACGAAGCTGCCGGCTCTTCCGCCTCATGCCTTTGCTGTATGATTGCCTGGAAATGGCAATGGGAGCACCGGGAGCACCACAAAAGCATCGCAGTTCCGTTTCCCAACGCTGGTGGTTCAGGCTCAAGCCCGAATGAGCTTTTGAGGCTTCATCTATACTGTCTATACTTGCACGTTTTCTTGACTTCTTTTCCACATCGGAATCTGTCGAGTCCGTTGCTTAGATGCGGCGTTCCGGGCATGGCCGCGCAGTTCTGCCCGAACTGCACGGGACCCAGTCTCACGTCTCACATCAGTCTCATTGTTGTCGCTCCGTCTCGGACATTCCCCACATTCCCCACATTCCCCACATTCCCCACATTCCCCACATTCCCCACATTCCCCACATTCCCCACATTCCCCACATTCCCCACATTCCCCACATTCCCCACATTCCCCACATTCCCCTCGTGTCTACTCTCTTGTTTTCGTAGGTGCCAACTTGCTGGTGGTCGAAATCGGACGAGGCTCCAGCGCAGCCTTTCGGTGCAGGAACGGAGAACACGGAGAACACGCAGCTGCCTTGCATTGCTTTGCTGATCAGTTGCGGTCTTCAGTCGGGCCATGCAGGACATGCCCCTATGTGTACAAGATTCGGGAGCTCGATGGGGGCCGCGTGCTTTTTTTGAGTTGCGACCTCCATCAGACCATTGAGTTCAACTGAGTTCAACTGGCAGGAGAAGCTGACAAACAAACAGCTTGTCCTCAGAAAGGAGGTTGATGATGTGCTTGGTGGCAGTGAGGCAATGGCTTTCGTGACTATGTAGTGCTTGTCGAGTCGACAAGTCTGGTGCTGGATCTTGTCGGCAGGCATGGAAAGATGTTGAACAATGCGATGCGCACTGTCGCAAGCCTACTCCCATCTCGAGCTTGCTGGGGAGGATGTGCACAAAGGATAACATAGGGTCCGCACTGATAGCACCAATGTCGAGGTCCAAAATGTGCTCATTCGAGAGCGTACTTCCGGCAAATGCAGACTCGATCTGCGGATGAGCCTATGACAACCTTCTACAGGCGCTTCTTCCCTGGTTACGGTGGGGAGTCTGGGAGTTGAGTGGCTGAGTTGTGCTTCGAAGGTGTACCCAATGTGGGCATAACTGGAAGGAGGACTGAGCGGCTCTGCACCAATCTTAAGCAGAATTTGTCAGCAAATTCTGCAGTAGAATGTGGCAGAGGGGCAGTTCAAGTTAAAGGGAAATGGGAGCGAGATGCTCTCCCAGAGCCAGCTAGCCAGTTGACCAGTTTTGGCATCGAGTCACTTCGTATGAACGGGGGGGCTTTCAATATCTGGCCTGTACTGGTTCACGCCGCTGATCAGACATGCCACAACTTTCATTTACAGCACGCATCGAACCGTACAGTAAGGTTCCTGTAAGGTTCCGCATGCTTCACGGCCTTGACGTGCGATGTCGTTCGGACTGAGCCTGAAGCCTTCAAACCTTCCCGAGAAGGCCAGGCCATTGCAGGCATGTTGCGTCCGGCGTCCGAGGCTGTTTTGAGCAGAGAGCGCATGAGCAAGCGGCAAGCGTCACTCCTCAGAACTAAAGTTCGAGAGGGTTGCAGGCTGATGGTTTTTGCATGTTTCTTTTGCCGCCCTGAGACCTTGGCGTTCACGAACCGGTGCTACACGAACCAGGCGGACCTTGAGCGGCTTTGCGGTGCCGGCGGTGCCGGTGGTGCCGGTGGCGCAAAGTATGTGGAGGTCAAGAGCTGCGTCTTCAGCATTGAAAGCCACCGTCTCATGGAGCCCGGCACCATTGCTTTCAACAAGGTCCAGCGAGAGTTCGCAAAGATTGGGCTGAACCAGGAGGTCTTCGTGAAGCAGTTCCCGATCCCCAAGGGTTTCGATCTTGGCACCTGCAAACTGGAAGTGGATTTCTTTGTGAAACCCACCCCGGACACCCCGAAGCTCGAGGTCAGGGATGAGGATCTGGACGCGCTGATGAGGAAGGCCTTCGAATCTCAAGTCTTTGCCGTTGGGCAGCAAATCGCAGTGGACTACAATGGCCAGCTTCTGAAGTTTGATGTGCGCAGTTTGATGCCACCAGATTTAGGGGACGGGGCAGCGAGGGCCAAAGTCACTTCGGGAATGTTCGCCTCCCTGACAGAGTTGGACTTTCAGCAAGGCCCTTCTGGAAAGCTGCACGTGCTCTCCAACAAAGTGCAGCAGCGAAATATCTTCAGACCAGATTTCAACTTTGAAGACCTCGGCATCGGTGGCTTGAGCAAGCAGTTTGGCGACATATTCAGAAGAGCGTTTGCCGCACGTATCTTCCCACCTCACATGGTTCGAGATTTGGGCATCAGCCATGTTCGGGGCATGCTGCTGCATGGCCCTCCTGGTACAGGGAAGACTTTGATCGCCAGAAAGCTTGCCAAGTTCCTGAAGGCTGCAGAGCCGAAGATTGTGAACGGACCAGAGGTGCTGAACAAGTACGTCGGCCAAGCAGAGGAGAATATCCGGAACCTATTCGCAGATGCTGAGAAAGACGAGAAGACGTTGGGAGAGAACTCCCCCTTGCATGTCGTGATCTTTGATGAGATTGACTCGATTTGCAAGTCTCGGGGCTCAACTCGTGATGGAACTGGAGTGCATGATAGCATTGTGAACCAGCTCCTTTCCAAGATCGATGGCGTAGACTCGCTGAACAATATTCTGCTTATCGGCATGACGAACCGCAAAGACCTGATCGATGAAGCGCTCTTGCGGCCAGGCCGCCTGGAGGTCCACGTGGAAATTAGCCTTCCGGATGAGCATGGACGCGTCGAGATCCTGAACATCCACACCAAGTCCATGAGGGACAAAGGATACTTGGGCCAGGCTCCTTTGCATGTGATTAGGAGTGGGACATCTTTGAGAGAGAAGCGAGTGAATTTGAGTGAAGTGAGAAGTGGAGAACTTCCGAAGCAGCGCGACGCATTTTAGGACGTCTCACTTGCGGACATTGCGGCGAAGTCCAAGAACTTCTCGGGAGCCGAGTTGGAGGGCCTCATCCGCTCGGCGACGTCCTACGATCCGCGGCTGCAGGGAAGAAAAGGGCGAAAAGGCAAGAGACAAGGGATGAAACCAAAGGGATGAAAGAAGAGTGGAGCACCGGACGAGCACCAAATCCAGCTCCTTTGAAAAGGAGCTTTAAGGAAGACAGGAAGACCCAAGATGGGGTTCAAGGCTTTTTTTTTTTTTTCTCTTCATAGGGGGGGGGGGAAGAGTGGGCGGGGCTCCGAGGCCATGAATCGCAAGGTGAGCTTCACGGACCTGAGCATCAAGGATGGGGACTTCCGCATCTGCAATGAAGACTTCGATATGGCACTGGATGAAGTGAAGCCAGCTTTTGGGCAGCACATCGACGAGTTTGAGAAATGCATACCGAATGGCATGCAGCCTTACTCAGAGGAGTTCAGCCACATGCTGGGCTCGTGCATGAGCATCATCGATCAGCTGCAAGGAAGCACAAACACACCTCTCATGAGCTTGTTGCTGCATGGTGAACGCGGTTGCGGTAAAACTGCACTTGCTGCTCACCTGGCACAGAAATCAGACTACCCTTTCGTGCGGCGCATCACGAGTGAGAACTACGTAGGCTACTCCGAGCCTGCCAAGATCTCAGCGATCGCGAAAGTTTTTGAGGATGCCTACAAGAGCGACTTATCTTGCATCGTCTTGGATGACATCGAGCGCCTGATCGACTACGTCCGAATTGGACCACGTTTTTCGACGCCGGTGCTTCAGGCTCTCTTCGCCTTGTTGAAGAAACCGCCCCCCAAGGAGAACTCCAGGCTGCTCGTCTTGGGGACGACCGCCGATCCACATTTCTTGGAGGAAGCGGAGTTGTTTCAGGCGTTCAACGTGGCCTTGCAGATCCCCGTGCTGTCGCAGCCAGCTCATTACAAGACTGTTCTCGAGGCTCTCCCCGGCTTCACGGCACCGGCGGTTCAGGAGATCTCTGCCGGCATTGCCGGCAAGAGCATTGGCATCAAGACACTGCTGCTCGTGGCAGAGATGGCAGTGCAAAGAGAAAACCCTGTGCAGATGGCAGTTTTCCTCGAATGCTTGAAGCAATGTGGTATAGCTGCATAGATCAGCATAGCTGCTTGATCCCTGCCAAAAGTACAGAAGGTAGGATGGAGATGCGCGCAGATTGCAAACAAAACTGCCTCCGGCATTTTCATGTGGACGAGTATTTTGGTGCGATTGCCCGTTGCAATGTTCTCGGGCGGCAGCATGCCAAGTGGTTCAAGCTGCCGACTCCTTCTGGAAAGCCTGTTCCACACAGCATGGTTCATGTCGGTTGGGGCACTTTGTCTGTACGTGGTGCGTAACCATGAGGGCAGCAGAGCTGAATGGCAATGCTGGCTGGAGATGAAGTTCGAGGTTCGCTGCTTCTGGTGTGATTCGATTTTCCTGATGCTTTTTGTTATTTTAATGATTCCTTTTGATCAGGAGCATGAGGAGCAGAACACATATTGGCGCAGTTCAAGGTGTGTCGTGAAGCCAGTCAAGCGACACTGTGAGCACCGTGAGATATCACGAGCACCGCAGGCCTGAAGCCGGAGACTGGCGCCCCCATGGATCCCATGGCGTCTTGGGCAGCACAATCTGTGAACGCGGGTGTGGAACCTCGCGGGCACAGACCGCTCTTTGTCAGGGAGAGGATCTGCAAGCGGCGAGCGCCCTGAGCGCCCGCAGCACCTTGACCGAGCTGGGTGGCATCCTGTGCCTCTCCCAGATTCTCCCAAAGATTCTCCAGAGGCAGCGGACAGACTCTCTCCTTCTCTCATCTTCCTTTCCTTGGCTCTTCTGTGCCAAGGTCTCAAGTGGAGCAGGAGCTGCAGGGGCCACTCAGAGTCCTCCACACTTTTTCAGGCTCAGAGACTCAGGGGCTCGTATATAGCCCTGTCCAAGGTCCACAGACTTGGCTGAAGGCCAGAGAGCCAGAGAGCCAGAGAGCCAGAGAGTGTGGGAGTTGCCGGTGTGCTGTTCGCGCGGTGCCAGAGCCAAGCGGAGCCATGTTGCAAGGCACTGATGCATCGGATTTGCAGCAATGCCGAGAGCTGACAGAGCTGACATCGGGCATCATGTGTGCTGTATGTGCCTGGTATGTGCTTCATGTGCTTAGCTCTCGTTAGCAGCCTCGCTCATCTTCATGCCCTTTGCAATTGGCTTTTGTCAGGTTGCCAGGCCGTTGGCCGCCAGGCGAGGGCTTCATGATCCGCCGTCGCATCACCGCGCATCACAGCACATCGCAGCGTCACGGGCACATCACGGGCACATCACTCAAGAAAGTGCCTTTTGTCAGAGTTTCGCTCGGAGAGGCGAGGCTGTTGGAGCTGCGCCGCTTGTTGGATGAGGTGCGAACTCTTTCCAGGTTCGAGGAGTACGGCTTCCAGGCACATTCAGCCGTTGTTTATGTCAGGTCCGGCAAACTACGTCTGAAAAGTTGGCTCTTGCAAGGCCAAGAGAGGAGACTCAGGCGACAGAAGTGGCAGACACAGCTTGAGAAACATTTGGCCTCGACCCCCCTTCTCAGGGCCAAACTCCGGACAAGGAGCCGGAGGAAAGTGAAAGGGTGCCTGCGAAGAGCTCGACCGAGCGTGAGGCTGTAGAGGTCCAGGCCGGGTAACAGACAAAGAAGACGAGTGCCACGTCTCTCGTTCAAACCCCCTTGCACAATTGCACCGCAAAGGCATCATGAGAACGGTTCTGTGTATATATATATATATATAAATACGCACATCATACGGCATCCTCAACAGGCTCTTTTATTGCTACTGCCTTCTTGTGATCCCTTCACTGGCAGGTCGCATGGCAAAGGGATCAAGTGCGACTCCAGCAGCTAGAGCAGGCAAGGGAAGCGTGCGCTTTCAACCCTAAAGCCCAAAACTGTGAAAAGAGAAGCCCTCGCTCTGCCTATGTTGACATGATGCGCCGCATAGCAAGAAACTGCTCTTTCAATTTCAGGTTCTTCTCTATTGTCTTTTGAGTTAACTAGGGATCCTGGAGTGACGGCCGTGCGTACAGAGAAGGTTTTGCACTTCTGCGGGGTTGAGTGTTTGCCTCACGTGGGCCTTCGTCGGTCCTGCACGGCTTGCATGCATGAGTGATCATGAGCGCATGAGATGTGACCACAGGAGTTGAACGATTTCAAGCAGCAACAGGCCGAAGCCGTCGCCAGAAAGGATCGGGTGCCAATCTCATGAAGTGTGAAGCCTCTCCCGCATGCTTTAGCCTGTCGAGGCTTCGGAACCTCTGGAGGTTGCGGCGATCCGGTCGCCCAAGCCTTCAGGCCGGATCCAGTTCCAGCCCCTTGCGCCTCTGCACAAGCTCTGGGCAAGGCGTTCGGCAACATGCAGCTGTGGCAGACATCCAGCTCAAGGCGCGTCGTGCGGCGGGGGAGGGTGCAGAGCCAGAAGCGACAGTCACGCGAGTGCAATGAGTCTGCAACGAGTGCTGAAGCGTGCCCCAAGTGTGCCAAGAAGTCTTCTGGAGCGCAAGGTTTGGCAAGCTCGATGTTCGGCCCAGGCCCGTTCTGGGCCCATGGTCTGGCATCGACTCTTCGCTTCTCTCTCTCTCTCTCTCTCTCTCTCTGTCTCTCTCTCTCTCTCTCTCCTCTCTCTCTCTCTCTCTCTTTCTCTTTCCTTCTCTTTCCCTCTCACTCTCTCTCCATATATATATATATATATTTATGTATATATACGATATGGTGCACACCCCCCCGCACCCCCTCTCCCCCCCCACCTGCATGGTATCCCCCCCTCACCCCTCCTTGGTTAGATGTCACTGGGCCGACGCTTGTGAAAGACAAAGGTCACATGTGTGTGTCGCGCTTTTGCTGCCACATGGTCGGCCCGTGGCCTGCGAGGAGGAGGAACTCCAGCGATGCCGCTCAAGGTGTCCGTGCACCTGCTGTCTTTGCGAACGCTCGCGATGCTTGCGAATGTCCGCGACTGTGGTGTGGAGGTGCCGTGAATGGGAAGAAGAGGCAGGCGCTGCCTTTGGCTCGGGCCTTGTATGACTGGTATGTTCGGAAGGTTGCAGTTGTGTCGACGCGGCGTGGTGAAAGGTCAGTGTTCCCATCTGGAAGATCACGCCATGGAGACGGCCAAGGTGCGGGGTCAGCCACGTTTGACGTGTCCATACGTCTGCCTTCTCGCGGGTTACTGCGGGGTTGCTGCGGCGCGTGGAAGACCAGCACTTGGCACCTTCCGGGATGGAAGCCGACATGCTTTGGAAGCCAAATCCAAAATGGATCGAGATGTCGGTTGAATTCAAGACAGAAGCACAGGAAGGCTGCAGCTGCCCAACACTGTATTCTTTTGCATATTCCAGCAAAAGAAACGAGCCCAGCTTCGTTGCCAATCTCATTGTCTCTAGCCTCACTGCGACTTTGTTCGTCTCTTGCAGCACTCGTCGCAGTTCTTTCAGGCAGGTACAAAATTGGTCCCAAGCCTTAGCATGCCAAGGTCTTCCGAAAAGTGTTGCGTTGCGGAGCATGCCAGGGCTGATGAACCCGACCCAAGTTGTGGAATCTTTGGATGTGAGACTATCCAACCCTTCCGCACTTCACTCATGTTCTTGATGAATGCCTGTGCGCGCCAGGCAGAGGCGCAACTCAGCCTCCAGACTCAGATATTGACCGAAAGGTGCATCGAGCTGCAGGCGAAGATGGACAGGTCGAAGGTAACCCAGTACGACCTGTTTGGCCAGCTGGAGCAGCTGCGCATACAAAGCTTGGAACAGCAGCAGCAGCTGGCGGATGCGCTACTCAAGAGCGAGCAGCGTCTTGAGGAGAACAGGACTCGGGCCTTTTGGTGTGGTGAGCATTGGGGAAACAATTGGGATGCCCCCCCTCCGCCCCCCAAGACTCCCTTGTTTTGGCAGGACCCTTGAAGCCAGGAGCGAGGATCTCGAGATTCAACTCGCGGAGTGCATGCTCAGCTTGTCGGGCACACAAACGTGCAATGAGACGTGCCATGATGTCTGCTGTGCTCCTGCTAAGCTCCTGGCATTGTGGATACGTGCGAGTCCTCTGAGACTCTGAGGCCGAAGATTTCTCCTGCGAAGCCGAAGCAATCGGAGGAGGTCCATCAAGTGGTCGAGGCCCTCCACAGCCTGGAGCGGCGCTACGCCGTGTCGGAGGCCGCCCGGGACGGCTGCGCCCGGCGCCTGAAGCTGCTCGAAGCGCAGCGTGAGGAGCTCCGCGAGAACCTCCAGCGGGACCTGCGCCGCGGCTTGCAACACTTGAAGCAACACAGCTTGTAACATTGTAGCGCAGCTAGTTTTGCTCAGGAATTTCGGAGAAGAACGTTTGTGAATCTGTTTCTCGGGTCCCGTTGCAGGCAGGAGGCCTTGACATCGAAGCAGGGCATCGCAGAACACCGAAGCCGTCTGCAGTTGGAGTGTGGGGGTTTCGAGGCAGAATGCGAAGAACTGGGTGCTCGACTTGCAAAGTTGGAGGCTTCGGCTGCTTCTTCGCGGTCCAGAGAGGAGCTGCAGGAGCTGCGGGAGGAGCAAGGCGTCCAAGAGTTTTCGCAGTACCAGGAGAAGATCTCAGAGCTTTGCGACGACAGGAATTGGCACCAAAGACGTGCCTCAGAGCTTCAGGAGGAACTGCACGCGGCTAGACTCGCTCGACTCGAGCTGGAGGCGGCAGCAGCGGCGCAAGCGGAACTGGTGAGGGCGGAGGCTGCCAAAGAAGCAGAGCACGCCCAAGTGACGGAGGCAGCCTGCGGGCCTTGCAAGGACGAGGGATGACGAGGGTAGCGGGCAGCCGGGTAAGTTGACTCGACACGCGAACCACGCGAACTGAATCTTTCTCGTCTTCCTTGCCGGGCAGGCGCGCGGCCTCCGAAAGCAGGTGCTGCCGGCCGATCCGCAGCCGCGGCCGCCGCCCCAGGGTTTAGGCAAAACGAAACAGACAGTGGCAAACATTTTCATGGACCCGTAATCTGCCATTACTCATGACCTACTTCTGATGCCTGGTCTGCACGCATTCAGCTGTCACACCTTGTCACTCCCTTGCAACCATTGCAACCCTTGCAGCCCTTCGAAAGGGATCGTGGAAGTCCACTTGTCAAGCCAGAGCTTGACATTGATCAGACAGAGGCAGATGGAGTTGGGATCGCTCTGGGTTCGGCTGAGACTGTGGCGCATGCAGAGAGGCGTCCTCAGAGGCAAAGCCGTGGCACGCCGAGGCACGGGCAATGCCTGCTCCCACCGCCTAGTTTGCTTGGTCATTGCTATGTTGCATCAGGCCAGCCGTGGCGCAGAGCCATTGGATGCAATCTCGGAGGCCCTGTGCATCACAATAGAATTCAGGGGGCGGTGACAGTCAGAGCCCTTTTGGAGGAGTACCTCGGAGGATTCATTGATGCAACTGGCTGGGGAGCCGTGGAATGGGCCCGGCTCCCAAAGCCCTATCACCACTGGGACCACTGGGACCACTGGCATGGCAGAGCAGAGCTTCAGCACGTTTGTGCAAGGCTGGGAACTACACGTGGCTCCACTGGAGGGGCGCCTAGTGCCGGTTGGGTATCAAATTGGGGGGGGGGGGGGGGGGCGATGGCTGACATGACTTGCGAATGCGAGGGTGGCGGAGGCGCAGGAGATGGCGAACCGGAAAAGCATCTGCGAGCACCTCCTTAGGCTTCTCCCCTGACATTTCTCGTTTTCTGTTTGCCATTTGGCCATTTGGCGTGACGCAACAGGTTGAGGGCCGATCCACTGCTCCGAGATGACACGGGAAGGCCCCCCGAAGCATGTCGAAGCATTCCTGTAACATCCTGTAGCTCGTCCGAGTATGTCAGGACGCCCTTGGAATATGCTGCCCGTCCGGAACTACAAGAAGTGGTCACGGCACGCCCATAGAGCAATGCGTTGACTTTCTGAGATACTACCGACTACTCACCACTCTTGTATTTCTTGGGCTGTTGTTGACTTCGTCCTTGCAGGTGATGGTGCATGCCTTGGAGGCGGAGCGAAGCAGTGCTGAACTCGGCTTTTGACGCCAGATGGCTCCGTCAACGCCTCGCAATTGCTTTGCAAATGCCGCGCGCGTCCGCCTCAGCCAATCGGAGAGGCTTGTCACACGTGCCTGCGTGGCACAAGATCGCTAGATCACCTCTCCGAACCAAGCCAAAGCGATGACCAACGAGAAGGAAAACCTGGTCGCTTCCTGCAGCTAGCAGCTAAACAGTGAGAACCAGAGAGATATAAGAGATATAGAGCCCCCTTTCAAATTGCATTGAATCTGTTGGAGTTGAGTCCACGGGGATGCGTGGGCGCTAGAAGTGCAAAAAAACTGCCGCGGCCACGGCTGAGGGCGTGGGGGATTCTTTTTTTTTGGGGGGGGGTTCACCAAGTCCCTCGCAAGCACCATGGGCTTCTTGCCAGAGTCTTTCTGCATTCCTTCTTTGCCTTGGTTTCTTTCCGAGCCGTCCGAGGACTCCAAGGACTCCAAGGACTCCAAGGCCTTGGAGCACAGCAAGCCGAGCAGGAAAAAAGTGCCCCCCCCCTCAGTGAATTGCTGCACCCATTGTGCAACACTCTTGCTGACACCCATGTCGCATAGCCCCCCCCCCAACAACAAATAGTTCCGAAAGTTCCCCCCATGCCTTGTTCCTTGTTCCAGGCACTGTGCTTCATGTATCCGATGTATCCATGACACGACGCGTGCACACTTGGAACCGCCGCCGCTTTTTCTTTTGTTGGGGGGGTCCTCTCCTCGAAGCGCTCGAGAGCGCCCGGAGCGCCCGGAGCGCCCGGCGAGCCCGGCGCGCCCGGCACGTCCGGCGCGTCCGCGCCCGGTGCCGCAGCCGCGAGGAGGCGGGTGCAAGCGAGCAAGAGCTGGAGAGAGTGCGTGGGGGGAGGGGGGGCGCAGGCTTGGCGTGAGAAAGTAGTAGCGTCCCAAACCACAGGAGACAAGAGAAGACCTTTTCTTGTGGAAGCTTTTGGGAGATCAAGAAGTTCGTTTAAGAGACAGTATTCAGCTGAAGAGACGACCGAGTCGGTAAGGCAGCGGCTTTGTCGGCTGTATGGCTGGTGAAGCCGGCATGGGGCTCTGCTACGGGTCTGCCCCCGCTCTCTGCATGTCCATGTGCGACGTGTTGAAACAAAGCTAGAGGTGGCTGAAAACACCGTTTGCAACACCGTTTGCAACACCGTTTGCAACACCGTTTGCAACAACTTGGCACTCTTGGCACGTCAGTCACGTCAGTGTCGGCTTGCCGAGGCTCGGACACACCTCAGCCGCGACCCTGGAACATCCAGAGCCTGGAATCTCAGTCTCATATGCCTGTCTCTAATTTCACAGGCGCGATGAGTACGGAGATCTCTTTCAAGATTACGGCTTTCTGAAGAGGGCTCGCAGCCCAACAGAGAGCAACAGAGCTCGCGGGTGCTTTCCAATGGGATTTGGGGGGCCCGGCCGTGCCGTGAGTGACTCCTTGAGTGATATGGTGAATTCGGTGAATCATCTCCCGTCTTCTCCGTGTTGCTGTTTCTTTTGTTTGAGGCCGAGGACCTGAAGGGAGCGGGCAACGAGGCCTTTGCGAAGGAGCGCTTCGAGAAGGCCCCGAGTGAGCCACGAGTGAGAGCCACGAGTGGCAAAGGCGGCAAAGGTCCCGAATTCTTGTGGGGTTTAAGGAGAGCCCCTTCTTGCGCTTGAGACACCCAGGCACTCGCTCAGTATGCCCCAGCCCCAGTGCCGCTTTGCAGTCTCTCTCTGAACTCTCTCTCTCACTCTCACTCACTCCCTCTCCCTCTCCCTCTCCCTCTCTTTCTGTTTTTTTGCGAATGCGACCAGCATGTTGCAACAAGAAGCACTTTAAGCACAGCCTGAAGCTATAAGCTTCTCTAAAATTGGAGAGGACGGTGCATTGGAGCAGCTGTCCGCAGCCTAGAGCAGAGCGCCAGGTGACAGCACACGCAGTGCTCTGAAGGCAACGTGTCGTTTCTATTCTCCGAGGATGACCGTCGCCTACGACAAGTCAATTGTTGTTGGCAAGAAGAAGTGGAACGACATCGTCGTGATGAGAAGCACGCTCCACCTGAACAAGAGCACGTGCTTCTACAAGTCGCACGTTGGCATTTCTTACCGAGTATAGTCAGTATAGTGATTCGTGATTGCACTTTCTTCTTGAGCAACTTGAGCTGCTCTCCTGAGGCTGAAGGATTGGCAGCAGTCTCTGGACGCAGCGCTGGAGTGCTTGGTGGGAAACCACCGTGATGAGATGCTCTTCACGGACCCACACATTCGCCACAAGATCAAGGAGTCAGCAGCTCACGGAGAGAGCCGAACAGGGGACTTCGTGCACATGTTGCGTCGCACACTGAAAGTGCGCAGTGATGGCGGTGTGAATCTTTGCCAAGGTCAGAGCGAAAATCTGGGCACTCGGGCGTGAGCCTCGTAGAATTCCGCCCGCGGCCCTGACTTGAAAGGCAAAGAGGCAAAGACGTTCAGTGCGGGGTGGGGGGGCCCTCTTCGCGGGGCTCAGGCTTGCCGCGGATCACCCGCTCGAAGGCATGGTTTAGAGCTTCGCAGTGTCGACCTCAAGAGAGAAAGCAAGAGACGGAGCTCATGGGGAGAGCACACAGGGAGAGCACACAGGGAGAGCACACAGGGAGAGCACACGGGGAGTGTCACGGAGGGAGGAACGGCCTTCACAACGCGCGCCCCGAGGTGCTATGGTCACCTGGACTTCTTGGACAAAGCAAAGGATGCCCTTGCCAAGGTTCCTTGGCTTCCACGTGTCCCCCACTCCAGTTGAAGACTCCAGTTGAAGACCTGTGGGGGTGGGGGTGCGGGGGATCTTACGCCCATCTTGCCCCGAGGCCTTGGAGGCATGTGATGACCACGGTTTGATCGCCGAAATCTCGCAGCACTCGCTGCGCCAGTCTCTCGGAATTCTTTGCCATTCCTTGCCCGTAGCCTGCCTTTTTTATGGTGGTTCAACCTGCTGGCCTGGAGAGGTTTGGACACTCTGGAAAGACTTCAGAAAGACAAGCAGAAGAAGCAGTTTGCCGGCTTCTGGGACAAGTTCCAGGACTGCAGAATACTGCACGAGAAGCGACAAGAGATTCCCGAAATTCTCGATGTGTCGGCCCTTGGGCCCTTGCCTTTGCTGCACCCTGGGGCAGGACAGAGGCGGCTACTCGGAGGGAAAACCCAACGACACGCAGGAGAGGGAGCTCCTGAAACCGATGTGACTCAAACGATAATTTCTCTGGTTCTCTTGAGTTGAGGATTGGGACAAGCTGAAGTACTGGGAGCGCTTCAAGCACGTGGGAAGCCGACAACATGTGTGCTGCGCGCGTGCTAGCAACAATGCCCCTCTTCTCCAGTCTTGCTGTGCTTTCTCTTTGCACACCTGCTCTCCATGCGCGAAAGGTCGAAGACTACGAGGAGAGGTACATGTACGTCGACCAAGATCAGCAGCAGCAGGAGGCCACGGTGGAGCGTGGACCGTGGTGCTTTCAGAACTCCGTGGGGTGAGTTCTTGTGATGTCCTGTCTGACTTTGTGTGAGGACCCCAAAAAAGGGCACGCCGCCGAGCTGCTGCACCATCTCCCTCCTGGTGCAAAGTGGGATTCTGCTGTGAAGGCATATTCTCAAGACGTGAAGAAGGGTGGGCGCTCTCCCTGCTGACGTTCCCTGAGTTCAGGGCCTGACCAAGAAGATGTACAGAAATATCGACAAGAGCTTTGAGGAGTACTTGGAGAAGAAAAGCACCGGCCAGTTCGAGGCGCCTTGCCTGGCAGCATCGAATTGCTTGAACAACGGAATCTCTGCGTCAGGATGTCGGCTTGCCCGAAGAGCCTGGACACTAGCCCAGCTGACGGGGAGCGAATGGTGCAGATTTGTGCAGTTCCATTTGTGGCAACTTTCTGTCCTTGTGTGGCAAGGCCAGTCTCCTCGCATTGAAGTGCCGCCTGAGCCAAAGGATGTGGTGCCACCGAGGCCGCGACGGAAGGAGAGGGCCGTGATGTTCTAGGCTTTTTCCACATTTTTCCTCTTCTCTTCTTCGCCACATTTGCCCTTGACGCAGCAGCTGCGACGTGGAGAGTGCAGGAAGAGACCCCGCTGGCCTACTCGCCCCGAGGCGGCCGGCCCGGCGCAGCCACCTTAGGGGATCAGCTCTGCGGGTGACCAAAACCGCGCGCCGTTGAGAGAACGTGTGGGTCTTTTTGAAGGCCCGGACCCGCGCTGCGAGGACCCCGTCGCCGGCACCAAACCCTCGAGAGGCACCCGACCGTTCGCCTTCGTTTGCTCTTTGTTCGGCTCCCAAAAAAACACAGAAAAAGACGCTTCTCTCTCTGAGGAATATGCACGGCACTACAACAGCCACGCGAAGCTGGAGAAGGCTCCGCTCGGCCACCGGCCGGAAGGGACGAAACGTGTCGTGCTTCATTGGATGATGGAGCTAAAGGACATCGCTATGTCTCTGAAGCTCGGAACACAGCAATGCATCGAGAACTCAACAACATGTCGGTCTGTCAAGTCTTCTCCGCTGAGGAACGCAGCCTCGTTGCACATTGGAGGTTCTACGTACTTGGGTTCCGAACCCTACGAACACTAAACTCACTGGACCATATGCGCGATGAGGGGATAGGAACGTATGTTCAGCAGTAGAGGTGGCGACCTTCTTCTCTCGTAAAGATTGGAAGTGAGACCGAATCGGGCAGGCACACGCTCAAAATTGCGATTAATGATTAATGTGCAGAGGGGAGGGATCACCCAGCACAGAAACAATGAGAGAATTCAGTTGCACCGCGAAGAAAGCAAAGGACACAGCAAGGATAGACAAGTGCGCGCAGAAACGGAACGAGGGGGTGGGGGTGCTGCGAAGAGCTCCCTAGGGGACCCTTAGGCTGTCGAAGAGATATCGGAAGAGAGGCACGCGCAACTCGCTCGGTCCCTCGGGTCCCTCGGGAGCTATGCCATCATGCAAAGGGCCACGCTAATCCCAGGCGCAAAGTGCGATTTAGCGGTCCAGGCCTCCTTATGCTCAAGGAAACCGTGAGGTCAAAACCTCAGCAGATCTCGCCGAGGGGCCTGAAGCCGGGCCTCGTATGGGCCTAAAGGGGGTGGGGAGGGCCCCATAGGGCCTCAAGACAGAAGGGGAGTCGGTGGAGTCGGTGGAGTCGGAGTAGGCAGGGGCTGCAGTTTGTTTTTTTGCCTCCAGACGTATTGTTCCAGGCTTGGCAAGACAAAGCTGCGGCGGAGGTCAGGATGGTGAGTTGCGGTTGCGTTTTTTTTTTTTTGGTTTTTGTGCCTTTTGCAGTGTTTGTGGTGTTTTTGTTGCCGCTCTTTGCCGCCTCCAGGCCCTCGACTCGGAAGAGGAGCAGGAGCTTCAGGAGGCCCCCCCCGGTCATTCCGACATCCCTAGATGTTGGGCATGTGGATTCGGAGACCATCCCTGGTCATCCCTGGTCATCCCTCCCTTCTTTGCAGCCTCGAAATTGGTTGTCTCCTGTGTCTCCTCTCTGCTTTGGAAGCTGAGAGGCCCGGGACCGGATGGCGCTGCAGCGCTGGGAGCGCTTGAACAAAGAGCGCAAGGCGTGGCTCGAGGCGCGTCCTTTGTCTCTTGTTGATGTCCTTTCGCAGACATGTTCTTTTTGAAGTATCTTGTATTCTTTTTTCCCCCTGTGTTGGGTTGGGCCGTTGTCGCTTTGGGAGCCGCCTTTTGCCCTTATCTTTGCAGGCTTTGGACGACGACGATTGACTTTGATAGACGGCTTCCCGCTTCCTAGAACCGCGCGCCAGCGAGAGAAAACAAAGGGTGCTGCTGCGGCAGCGTTGCCGAGAGAGTGCATGCGAGACAGTTGGCCCCGCGAGCGTGCATGTAGCTCAGTCGAAGTGAGTTGCTGTCAGCTCGAGGCACCAGGAAGTAGACTGCATCCCCAACAAGAAACCCCTGTCCTACTCGCCATGGCGATGGTCTCGAGGCGTTTCCTTCCTCATTGTATTCTCAGTTCGTAGTCGAGTTATCGACACGTGTTCAGTTTTGGTTTTGCTCATAAACGCAGCGACCTTCCCGCCCTCTCTGGCGCAGGCGTGCCATTCAAAACCCTGGCAAGGGCGTGGCCGTGAAGCAGAAGCCGAGCATCCGCAAGACAATCGAGCCCAGACCCCGGTCTGCCCGAGGCATCTCAAGACTACAAAGGCCTTGGACACGGAACTCTGTAAGGACATTGTGAGAGATCCCATTGAAGATCATTGAAGTATGAGGTCGATGATTAGCACGGGGAGCCAGGCCGAGTACTTCCGACCCGCTGCTTCCTCAAGGGGGGTTATTGTTCGGAGAAGAAGCGCTTGCCTGCGCTCGCTTGCCACCTGTGTTGACCAATGTGCCCAGGAGCAGACCATTATCATCTTTGATTGGGATGACACGACAGCGGCTCAGAGACTCTGGTGCGCTTCGGCGTTGGAGCACCTCTCTCTCATGGGTCAGGGACACTGTAGGTAGAGAATGTTAGGCCTGGACACACCATACGATAACGCCTTGTGTGACGCGTTGCTGCGGATGGCCAAGACATGCACTGAGGCTTTGCCCTTCCAGCTGGATCCGCGCAAACAAGAAGGCATCACCGCAGCTCTGTCAGCTTTTATCTTCCGTACTTTTCTTTGCTTCCAACCCCTTCGGGTTGGATCAAAGTCAAGTAGAACGAGATGGGAGCGCGGTTTCCTTACTTAGCCCAAACACACCTTGTGACCCGAGCCAGCTTGCTCAGCTGGCACGACCATGGAAAAACCACAATCCAGATGAAGCAGCCTTCTCCGCTGTTTGGATTTCAGGATATGGCTTAATTCTTATGAGAACTCCGAATGTGGGAATCTATGTCGCCAGGCGCCAAAGTTGAGCATGTACAAATGGGAAGCAGAAATGCCACACCCGCAATTCCGTTTGGATAACGAGAATACTTTACAAATCCAAGTAGTGATCAGCATAGACCCCGAACAGTAAGAAACCATGCGAACGCAGACTTCCAAAAGCGATGAGAGGTGCACTGTTTGTGAACTCAGACGTCCAACGTCCTTGGCAAACAGAGCCTTTGCAGCCGCGAAGCTCTGCCTTTTAAGAGCAACAGCCTTTTCACTTCCCTTCGAGGGGGCCCACCCTTCAATTCAAGAGAGGCTTTTGACGCTTCAAGGGGCCCAGCCTCAAGAGCAAGAGCCTTTGACCCCTCACGGGGCCCAAGCTTCAAACGAAGAGCCTTTGACCCCAGACGTCCAGACGTCTGGAACCCGTTAATGTTGACACTCTGTTTGGGAATGACAGCTTTGGTGTTTACACTGCGTTTGTTTGGCTTTTTTTGAAAACCAAATCAGAGCTCAGTGGAGAGAGGAGCGCTATATGAAAGTGGAGACACAGAAATGCAGAGCAAGGCCGTGGAATCCGGAAACTTACCGGCTCATGGCTCATGACTGCGTTTGCTAGCGCAAATCCGAACATTGAACAAGCACAATCCAAAGAGATTCTGTCCAGAAGGCCGTGTTTTGAGGCTTTTGCTTTACGCTGTTTTTTTGAGGTTATTTAAATCAGCAGGAGTCCCTGTTGTTTTGGCGTTGGTGTGTCCAGTGGACTAATCAGCCAAATTCATTGCTTTTCAAAGCTCTTCTACCACCTCTGGCAGGGCGCCATCTTTGCACATATTCCTTGTGTCTCTGATTTGTTTGAGAGTTTGGTTAACCCAATTTACATCCAGTATGAAATTTGGACATCAGGCCCAGAACAGTGGTTTTTATGGGGTGTCTGAAAATATAGCCTCCGTCTTATATGTATGAAAAGGCTCAGAACCGCATGTCCGAGAGACTAACTCTGTGTTGAATACCTTTTACGAAATATACGACCACGGCCCAAAAACTGACAGCCTCGATTCAAGTACGACAAGAAATGATGCCCTCGCCCTTGCTCCTTCAGAGTTAGTCGTGTGGTGGGAGCAGCAAAGATGGGCTGCACGAATGGCGCCGGGATGTTACGGGGTTTGGGATCTGTAGAATGTGGCTCGGATTTGAGCCAGACCCTCCTGCGCCTCGGAAGTGGGAGTTGGCAATGTATGTGGAAATGCATGTATGTATGCATGCAAGCCTTGCAAAGCACGTAAAACGCATTTCTAGCTTTGGGGAAAGAGGCAGAACTCAGCCCAGCGTCGGGCTTCGGTCGAACCCGAACCAACAACAAAGCCATGGGGCGCCTCAGCCTGCCCCAGAATTGATGCTTTTCGATGCTTTTCGCATCTTTCGTGCTTTCGTGCTTTCGCGCTTCCAGTGTTCATTTTCGCGCTGCGCCATGCATGATTATGTCTGCCACTTTGCGTTGCGTCCCGTGTTTTCTCTCTCGAAGCCAAAATGCCAACAGAATCAAGCAAACAAGCAATCAAGCAAACAAGGGCCAACCCAAAAGACAAATGGCCGCGGCCCCCAAGGCAATACAAAATCCATGCCCAAACCCGCCTCATCCCCACGATCCCGGAACTCAATCATCCGAGCCCGCGGTTCGGGGGTGGGGTAGGCAACGCGGCAACGCGCTTCTTGCTTCGGTTTGTCAGGTTCTGAGCTTCTTCAAGCCAGCTCCGAACGTGGAGAAATACCAGAAACCACTTCGCGAGTTGCAGGCAGGCCCGTGCGGATTCCGGTTCTAGGGGCATGGGAAATCTTTTTTTTGGCGATGCCGAGGCAGCAGTGGAGGTGCTGCTCAAAATGGCCATGAAGTTGGGTACTGCCACGTGCCCACATAAGTAGGAGTGCTGCTTCCTCCGCTTGACTGGGGAGCTTAAGTTCGGTTTTGCTTTCGGAATGTCGCGGAGAGAAGCGCGATGATCCAAGGTCGTGATTGTGACAAACGCCATGGAGTCCCGAGCTCGATATCGAGGGCTGATTAGAGTCAGTTTGAATGTTTGGCTTCATGCTAATGCTGATGCTAATGCCCTGATGCTAACGCTAATAGCAATGCTAGTGCTAATGTTGTTGTCGTCGTTGCTGGATTCTGTGACTTTGATGCTGAGTCCGTGGGTCGAAACCTCCTGCCGCAACTTCTTGCCCTCGCTTCTGCCGTTGGTGAGCACGCTTCCGGTCATCTACGCGCGGTCCATTTTCGAGCAGCAAGGCCGGACGGTTCCGCGAATTTTCTGGAAGGCTCTACGCGACCTGTCTGCAAGGTGTCGACATCGCCCGCAGCCCCAGCAGGCGGAGGGGGTCTCGAGTTGAGTCCACGCATACTACACACACACACAGAGACTCCCTGTGCGTCCTCTATCCGCAGGGGCTCATCGCCTCTAAGCCGGCTTGCGATGCCTGGCATGTATGCTGCCAACGGCCAGTGGGGGCCCTGGGAACATGTGACCTCCAATGGCCTCCAATGGATGTCCAGATAGGCTCTTCGCATTCCCCTGTGGCTTCCAGGAATCGCTTGGGGAACATCAATGCAAAGATTGCAGCTCAGCGAGTCGAAGAGACGTCCCCGCAGAAGTGGAAGGAGGCTCTCTGATTCAGTCGGAGATGGGCGGAGTGTGTTGATCTTAGATGGAGAAGTTTTGCAAGACAACTAGAGGGCATCTTTTGCAATGAGCTGCAGGCACAAGTCGCGTTGAGGATCGTTGAGGTTTGTCAACCTTGGTGAAGTCATTTGTGGCGTTCGATGATTTTAAGCTTCAGCAGATTTTGTCGGTGAGTGTGTGGGAGTCCGGTGATGTGGCGCTCAGCATACTTTGTTGGGGCGGTGCTTTTCCCGTTGCGCTTTGCTTTGCCTCCGGGTTGAAGTTAGTGTCCAAGAGAGCGTGCTATCAACTGAGCCCTGATTGAGCCACCCGGTGGAGGTGGCCTTTGCGCAAGAGATCAAGGATTTCTACTCTCGCTACCAGCACCAAAGCTGGAAGAACGTGATTAGCGTTGGGGCACTTCTGGCTTGTTTGCTTGTTTCTTGATTTTTGGGCGTGTTTCTCGAACTTTTTGGACGGCGGCATGCAGTCAAGCTGCCAGGACTCCGTTTTCGAGCGAGATGCAGTTCGCCGCGTCGTCTTGCCGCGGCCTTAACGTGAGGTCGCGCAGTTCTGTGTGGCATTTTGCTGGGCTGGGGAGGAGCTTCGGGGGTTGTGTTCGTGTGAGGCAGCGGCCCACTCCACAAAAGAAGTGCAGAACCAAGACTTTGAAGCTCTTCGACGACCCTGAGATTGAGGAGAATCCCAATTCTTTTGGGAGTTTGTTTTTTTTCCAGGACAGCCCCAGCGACAGATTTTTCTGTTGTCTTGGCCAGTGTAGGCATGTCTTGGGTGCTTGCTGGTAACCCCTTGACAGAGGCGTAGTGTGAGCGGGGCTTTCGGAGAAGGCTTGGGGTTGGGGGTACCGGGGCCACGTCGCAGCTCTGCAGTTCCCCCCTTGTGTTCTGCTCTAACTCAATTCGTGAACGGTGTGCGAGAGGGGGTGGGGGGGGGGGGAGGGGTTGGAGCAACCACTACCAATCTTCCAGCTACCCCCGCTGCATTTGTAAAACGACCGGCGCCTTCTCAAGTTGAGACCGCAGGCCGGTTGATGGCATGCATCGACAGATGAAGGATGAGCTCCCGAATGCCCTATGAATTGCTGGCGCATGTCCCGTAACTAAACATTTCAAGCTCTGGAACGATTTGTCGAAATCTCAACCCCAACGAGCTCTGATAACTGCAACCCAGACCGTCACAAAAGCACACGATGTTTGCACCAGGAGCTCGTTGCCCAAGTGAAGGTCGTGTACGATGTCATCAATGTGATGGTGCGATGATGTTGCAACGGAGATTTGAGAGGGAGAGAAGCTCAAGCTTCCCTAGAGACATATATATATATATATGTAGACTCAACATAGACCATTGAAGACTTCTGCAGGTTCAATATGACGGCGATCTCGACATCGAGATTGACGAGGAAGACCTGAAACTTGATGGACCGCTCATGGACAAGCTGCGAGACTAGTTCCGGGCCCAGCGCATTTGGGTCGCGGGCTCGCAATCTGAAAGACCTTCTATTGTCAGAAGGGTGTCCCAAAAGTGACATTGACTAAGTGGACTAAATTCGCCTTCCTCAGCCTTTTTCGGAGCTAAAGCTCTGATCAGCCTTGTGCCCACACGTGAACCAGAATACTCTCAGTTGTATCCCGATGGCGAGCTTGCGCAAGTATGGTTCTTAAGGTGCTCTCATGGTGTGCACAAGACCCTTGGTTCTTCTTGTTTAGAAGACTTGCCGGCAGCTTCCGGCTCGGTAAAGTAAGACGACGAGAGAGAGTTTAGAAGAGAGCGCTGCGCTACACGGTCAGCAGACACAGGCAGAGCAGTCCTAGACTCCGTTCACTTGCGTTCACTTGCTCAACAAGTAGCCAATTGTAGACCCTCATCAATGACAGTATCGTGAGAGTATCGGAGCACAGTACCTCCTACAGTCGGCAGCTGCTGTTGTGTCCGGAGACGTGTCGCGAAGCGGCACATCCCCCTTCACTCCTTGTGTTCTAAATTGAGATGCGCTCGGGGGGCCTTGTGCTTACAGGACATCGCGGTTCCATGATGGAATTGGTTCCTGATTTGCATCCTGCGTAGTTGGGGGAATGGAGGAGGCCTATGGTTCCAAAGCCTACAGTAAAGGGCGAGGGTGCATTACTGCATTAGCGCTTCATTAGTGCTGGCAGTGCTCGAAGAGGGATTTCTCCTTGTTTGAAGCTTAGCTGGCAAAGCGAGCCACTGTGAGAGACCCTCCACAACCCCAATTATGCAGCCCTGAGCGCGCACAGCCGCAGGAAGCCCCACAGCTTTTAATGCCGTTGCTTCTAAAATAGCAAGTGCCAATGTCAGGATATGTCAGGGTGCCATTTGTCCCACGTTTTTGTGAGCTGGATCTTGGCTGGTACGGTGGCAGCCTTCATTTCAGGAGTTCGCTGCAGAGTAAATGGTTCGCATAAACAAATACATAAATAAGTAAATGCATAAATACTTTTTCTTTCTTTCTTAGAAAGAAAGAAAAAGAAAGACAAGTGAAGGTGAATACGTAGCAAGTATTGATAAAATGTTCCTCTGTATATAGATGTAGATATACATACATGTACATCTAATACATACAAGTGCATCGTAAAAAGTTTTCAACCCTCCCACGTGCATGTAGGAACTGTGAGGCTTCGCTTCGGTCCATTGCAAGCAAACCGATACCTAGTCTTCTCATTGCCAAGGAGGTAGCAACGTTGCCGCTGGCCCGGGCCAAAATTCATGTCCCGTGCAGCAGGAGAGATGGAGAGATGGAGCAGGAGAGATGGAGAGATCGCATTGGCCATGGTGTTGGCTCATGCGGCATCCAGTGAGCTCGTCTGCATGCTGCGGCCGTTCCTTTGCATGCAACCGGCGCGAAATTTGGCGGCTCCAGCCTAACGGTTTCTAAGGCTCGTGCAGATTCCAGAGCACATTTAACTAGAAGAACCCGCAATATGACAAGGATGCAGCCTTGAGAAGCAGTAGCCAAAAGAACACACGTGGTGGTAGGAGCAGAAACTGCAAAAGCACTGCAAAAGAGAAGGCTCATTCAGAAGAACACTCTCTCATCTCTCTCATCACCTCCTCTTTTGAAAGAGAGAGGCAGGGGCCTCACGATGCCGGTCTACGAGGAGAAGTTCCTCTCTCCGCTGGCGGTGCGCTTCTCCTCGGAGGTGCTCCGGAGCCGCTTCGCGAACGGCCAGGCCTTGGACAAGGCGCGGCGCCCTTTCGGGGGGCTTGCTCTTCCCACAGTGCGTGCGCCAGCCAGCTTGAGAATCTCTCTCTTTCTGTGCTCTTTATGAGAGAGAACAGAGAGAGAGCAGAGAGAGCAGAGAGAGAGAGCAAGGAGGGTGGAGAGAAGGCTTTGTCTCTTGTTTCCGAAACAAGAGGTGCTCGACATGGTGGAGGAAGGGAAAGGCGTGGAGCCCTATGACGTGATTCTGAAAGCGCCCTTTCCGAACATCGAAGTGCTTCGATGGGCTCCCGGAACGATGGGAGCACCGGGGTTACCGGGCTTACGAGCCATACCCGATGAAAGGCCTCATTGGTTTACCACAGACAACCGCAGGCTCTACGTGCTTCAGAGGGCGGCTGCCAAGCTTTGGCCCAAGAAAGCGGGCGTCAAAGTAGATTTGCTCTTTGCGGGAGACAGTGAGCTTTTTAAGAAGTACAACTCCTCCACCGCGGGCTTGTTCGCCTCCATCAGTGATTCCGGAGTGGTCAGCGATGTTTGCGAAGAGGTTTGGGACTGGATGAGGGCCGTCACTCCCCGTGATGGCTCCGTGGACTCTTGGCCATAGCAGAGAGTTCTACACTCTTCTATGCTGTTCTACAGAAGCCTCCTTTGGTTTTGTTGGCTGGGAAGCGTGGGTGGATGTGTGATGATGTGTGCTTAGAGTGCCCCGTCTCTCTCTCTTTCTCCGTGTCTTCTCTGCTCTTTTCCCAACTGTTCTGTTTTCAGAATCTGCTTTGAAGCCAGAGATGGCAGCAACTGGACCTTAGCAAGACGTGGAGTTAGCGTCTGAATCTTTGCGGAGGCGGGGCCGATTCTTTGATGATTCGGGGGCCCATTCTCGCAGGAGTCCGGCTCAAGAGTCGCAAGCCGGGAAGAAGCAGGAACTGGCCGAAGCATTCGTGGCGGGAGGATGCGGGAGGTGGCAAAAAAACTTCTTCCGCGGAAGCGCGAAAACCCTTCCTGCAGAAGCGTGCCCAGCCTCTTCCAGCTCTGCTGCTGATAAAACGTCTTCTTCTCTCAGATGATGGTACAGGTCTTCAGTGTTGTTGACTGATCTGTTTCCGTCCAGACCGCAAGTTTTCGTAAGCCTCGATCCCTCAAGCTCCAAGCCCAGCATTTCCGAGGACATGGCCTTGGAAGAAGCCGCGCACAAGCAGGTTCTTCTTGATGATGCTTCAGGCACACTCGAAGAACTAGTGAGCGTTCCCCAGGACCTGCAGGGGTCTGCGATCCAATCCTATGTGTGCTCTGCCAAAGAGCAGAAAGAGCAGAAAGAGCAGCAAGCTGACAGCCTGGATGGCCGAGATGCAGACGCAGATGCCACTGCAAGCACCTCAAGCACCTCAAGCACCTCGAGCACCTCAAGCAGTGTGCAGCTGAGCATCCCCAGCATCCCGACCACGACCACCACGACCGTCACCGCCATGAAGGGCACGAGGAAGAGCAATGAGAAGAACTCCGGTGAGGACACCTCCTTGAAGAAGACCGCGAGGAGAAATGACAGGAATGACAGAAACGGTAGAAACAAAGGAAAGGATGAGTCAGCGTGGCAGTGGCCCAGTCTTGCGGAGCACTGGCGCGATGTCTCAGGTTTGCTTGAGGGCAGTTGGAGAGGGCCAAAGGGTGAGACTTACACGATGCATTTCGGGGAGCCTTCAGATGACGTGGTTCCCGGCCACTGTATCAGATGTCAGAACTCCAAGGAGAAGACTTTCTCTGTGCGATACGAATATGACAGCTGCCTCCTTTTCTGGGGTACAGGCCACAAGTTCTGCTTGGACCCTGAGGAACTCCGGGTAACGTCCAGGAAAGCCCGCTGGTACCTCGCCGGGAAAGAGGATCCTGAGTTCGATGCCCGGCCGCACACAAGTGTGTGTTTATTGACACATTTCTTTCAGAGAACCACGTGGTCCTTTTGCAAGCATTCCCGTGGCATGCCGTCCTTTGTGTGTGTGTGCGCGTGTGTTCAAGTCGGCCAGGAGTGGGTGCTTATTGGGGACCTGCCTCCTGAAGAAACGAAGCGGGTTGCCAGCGGCAAGGCAGGCAAGACGGGCAAGACGGGCAAGACGGGCCAGAGTGCCGCCAAAGACGAAGCAAGCCATCCCCGGCCGCGCAGGCGACGTTTGAAGCAAGGCCCAATGTGCAGGCTGCCTAGGCCCTAGGCAAAGCCTAATGCCAAGTTATGCTGAGTAATACTCACTCTTTGGCATGTTAGTTCTCACGTTAGCCCACGCGGCTGACCGCGTGGGCTGCGTGAGGGTGTGTTGTGCATCCGAACTAACAAGACCCAAGCACGCCAGTGGCAATGCCACGGCGCTCCTGCTGACGGCAGACGCGAAGAAGTGCGTGGGTGACGTAGTGGCATAGTACAAGACCTCAGCGTCATGCGCCGACACGGACGGCGTCCTTGCAACTGGATGTTGAGTGCTAAGACATGCTTCATTTGCTCCAGAAGTGGAGGGGCCCACTAGGGGAACGGAAAAGGAGAGGGCTATAGACTTACTAGGCTCTCTGTCTCTCTCTCTCTCTCCTTCTCTCTTTCTTTCTGTCTTTCTTTCTCTACTTGCACAGTACCTTGTCACTTGTCTTCTGAGCCCGGACATTTCATGGATACCCCCGCAGACCCAGAGACTTCACAAAGGGCTATTTACAAACATGGATGTGTAAGCTGTTGTCATGCAGCGAGCGGCCTGGCTGCGGGCGCGTGTCCCAGCGTCTCAGCGAGCTGTGTCCATCTGGATGGTAATGGTGACAAAATCAAGCTGACCTCATTGACTTTATGTTGTTTTCCTTTCGGCTCTCTCGGCTCAGAGGTGGAAAAATGCACACTCCGCTGAGTCCGCTGACGCGCCTTGTGAGCTATGAAGCGGGACTATGACCATTTGTTCAAGCTTGTTCTAATTGGTGATTCTGGCACGGGCAAGTCCTGCTTGCTGCTGCGGTTTGCCGACGATGCATTCACCGACAGCTACATAACCACCATTGGCGTAGACTTTCGCTTCAAGACAATACCGGTGGAGCAGAAGACTGTCAAGCTTCAGATTTGGGACACAGCTGGGCAAGAACGGTTCCGAACAATTACCAGTGCATACTATCGGGGTGCTGATGGGATAATCTTGGTCTACGACATCTGTGACCGGGAATCTTTCGCCCATGTGGAGGATTGGCTGAATGAGGTCAACAGGTACGTGAACGCAAGCACTTCGAAGATCCTCCTGGGCAATAAATGTGATCTTACGGCAGAAAGGCCAGGGATCGGGCTTACCGCAGTCGCACGTTCTCGGAGTGTCGGAGTGGGGTCCCGTAACTCGTGTTGTGTTAGTTTTCTCGTGTTTCTCCCCCGCGCCACGCGCCAGGCAGGTTTCCACAGAGGAGGCACGCCAGAAGGCGGAAGGACTTGGCATTCCTTTCATAGAAACTTCGGCCAAGGATGCCACACATGTGGAAAAAGCCTTCCAGATGATGTCCGCAGAGCTCATCCAGAAACGTGAGAAACAAGCTCCCAGACCAGTTGGGGATGTCGGACTCGGTAGGCCACGCAGTTCTAGCCCTTCATGCGCATGCCCCGGCACTTAGGCCACAAGTCGCGAGTGAATTGTGAATTGCAATGCCCTTGCTTGGAAAATTGCTCGCTGCTGCAAGACTTGCTACACACCGGCAGATGAATGATGTTTCACGTCGCTCAGCCGCTAGGCAGAGGAACTTTCTTGGCAGCCTCCCGCTCAGCACGGGGAGGGGGGGGGGGGGGCAGGACGGACCGAAAAACCTCAAAGAGAAGCTGAGACTCGTCCAGTTGTTGGATGCCCCAGCTAGGTTCGGAGTTTCTAATCATCCTTTGCAGGCCTTCCCGTTTTGAACCTCTTGACAACGATTGAAATTGACAAAATTTGAATACATGCGCGCCGGCCATGGTGTTTCTTTACAGTGACCTGATGCGTTCCGGGTCTATCGGGCGTTCACTCCAACAGGGGGATCTGTGTAGAAGGGAGAGCAGTGCAGCAAGCAGCAAGCAGATGATCTCTGACACTGGAGCTCCCTCCGAAGGTAAGATGCGGTTGCAGATAGGCAACGTTCGACGAGCATCAAAAAGCAAGTAATGTAAACAGCTGCAATCATCAGCATTAGTATACAGGGCTCATGGGGTGCCGAGAGCCGAGCGGTGGAGGCCCGGGACCCAGCAGACAGCGGGTTAAGCATTGCTTTGGATGTTCTGTCAGGTGAATCCCTTGATGGAGAATGCAGCAGATGCAGCAGATGCAGCAGATGCAACAAATGCAGCAGATGCAGCAGATGCAGCAGCTGCAGCAGCTGCAGCAGCTGCAACAGCTGCAGCAGCTGCAGCAGCTACAGCAAACAGAGCAGTGGGCACTCCATGCTCGTTTGCAGCATGCAGTGAAACAGAATCAGCAGATACACCAACTGCTGAAGCAGGCGCGAAGGGTAGCGGGGCCCCACGTTTTGAAATGGGGAAGCATGATTGTCTGTCGCGAGCTTGCAAAATTCATGCAGCCCACGTTGATCCAGAAGCGTCATATGATTCCTTCTTCTATTCATCACGTGCTGCCGTGAAGGATGCGCGGCTGAGACTCTCCCGGTGTGGGGTGGGGGCCAAGTTCACAATTTGCACCGGCTTGCAGTGTGGCCGTTTGACGTCCTTCAATGAGCTGCGTTGTGGCGTTGTAGCAATTGTTGTTAGCAGATCAGCTTCGTCATGTATGTTTTTTTTATACGTTGAATCACCAGCTGAGTCGTTCCAGGGTCCATGCAGCGCATTGTCGACTTGGTCCTCGCAGGCCCTTCGCACAGAGAGAGAGAGAGAGAGAGAGAGAGAGAGAGAGAGAGAGAGAGAGAGAGAGAGAGAGA